ACCCTCCCAGTATCGCCACTCACACCACTGGTCCTGAAGGGATCATCCGTCCTGGATTCCCTGTGTTTCCAGTTCCTATCTGTACCAGTGTATATCCTCTGGTCTAGCCAGACATGCAAGGTAGAATTCGGATCATGATAGTGGGGGAGGAAAGCACTGCTGTTCACTGCTTTAAAGCACTTTAAAGCACTGCTGTTCACTGGTTCCTAAGCAGTTAGGAACCAGAGGAAAGTTGTATGTTTCATCGTTGCTACATCACACCCTGACTGGCTCGTGTCCTCCCCGACATCCTTCTGCAAGGGGATCTCCAGTGGCCTACAAATGGGCTTTGGGTCTCCACTCCACTCTCCCACCCTCATTCACTATGGTAAGATTTTTTGTTCTGATGATGACTGATACCTGATCCCTTCGACACCATGTGATCGCACAGGCTGGTGTGCTTCTTCCATGTGGGCTTTGTTGCTTCTGAGCTAGATTGTCGCTTGTTTACCTTCAAGCCTTTAAGACCTCAGACGCTATAACTTTTGATGGCCGAGCACCATCAGCTTTCTTTGCCACATTTGCTTATGCACCCATTTGCCAAAGACCATTTTAATTTGCAAATGTGAAGCGACGGTAAATACTTAAGGACAATGTAATTTTTCTTTCTCAGAAAGATAAGTTATGCTCCTTATTACTGCATCTGATCTGAAATGCATCTTAGGTAAAGAGCTTAAGAGTAAAACAAACAAACAAACAAACAAACAAACAAACAAACAAACAAACAAACAAGAGCCTAAGAGTAAATGGTCTAATTTCAGCACCAAAGTCAGACTAGCAAGTCTACAGAAATCACTTTTAAGATGAATTGTGTAGGTAACAGCAACAAAACAATGATTATTTCTAATCATTATCTATATTATAAAACAAAAGTAGTAATTTTTTATTCCTAGTAATATTCAATGTGCACATGCTTTTTTTTAAGTGATGAGTTGTAGAAATAACAACAGGACTTCCTGAGTGTCGGTGAAAGAGAATGCGCCAGGAGGGTTCTAGTTTATACACGCACGACCTCAGTCTGAACAGACTGGGTTTGAATATGCCTTGGCAGTCTGTGGGTGGCTGCAAACGAGCTCTCTCCATAATTCACCTGCAGTCTCACTGTTGTTGTTCTGACTCAGAGCCACCTATGCACAACAGAACAAAAGCACTGCTTGGTCCTGCACCATCCTCACAATTTTTCTTATGCTTGAGAAATCGTTGCAACCACTGTGTCAATCCAGCTCTTTAAAGAGTCTTCCGTCCTCCTTTTCACTGCCTCTCGACTTTACCAAGCAAGACAGCCTTTTCTAGGGACTAGTGTCTTCTGATAATATGTCCAAAGCATATGAGACATAGTCTCCTTAGTAAACCTTATAAAATAACCACTCAAAACAGCGGGTTCCAAGGATATCTGTTGGGCTGGTTTAAATCAAAGCGCGAGGTCAGCTCAAAATCATGGCAATGTGGTAGTTACATAATTTTATATCCACTTGATAAAAGAATGAAGGGGTGGAGTTTAGTCTGGCAATCAGGTCACAGCATGATGATGCCTCCTTGTAGGTGTGGCCTAATCATAAGGATTCTGAAAACTTACTCTCTCTTGATTCTGCTATCAGAAGAGGCAGCCATTCTCTCTCTCTTTGTGCCTTGGCCTTCCTGTTGGCAGCCAGAGCCCTGGAGATGTGTCCGCTGCCATTGGATCCATAAGACTTTGCACCCACCAGTCTCTGATCTTTCTGCATCAATGCATGTGATTGTATGAGGCTGATGAGTGATTTATGGACTAGTATCAGACTTATGGGCTAATATTGGTCATTTAGACTTGATCTGGGGTGTTTTTATAATATACAATTATTGTTTGATATAAAGCTCTCTCTTACACACATATTAGTGCCTCTGGATTTGTTTCTCTAGTCAACACAGGCTAAGGCATTATGTACCAGGAGTGGGGTATATGCTCTAAATCAGTGGCCAATATATGTTGCTGTGTCTCCAACAGCCAGGATTCATGGGTCCATGAACCAAGGGGTGGAAGCCAGAGTGGCACCACTCACTATTACTACTAGTGATCCACTTGCAGCACTTTTGCTTCACTAGTAATCCTATGCTTTTCAAGCCTGGAGGTCCTAATTCCAAAGGAAAGAATCTCCCATGTGGAAACACAGCACTGATTCCACTGAACTGGCAGCTGAGAATGCCCCCTGGCCATTTTGCGCTTCTTATACTTTTGGATCAACAGGTAAAGAAGAGTGTCACAGTGCTGAGTGGTTTGATTGATCCCGATTACCAAGGAGAAATTGGACAGGTGCTATATAATGGAGGTAAAGGAGAATGTGTCTGGAATCCAGGAGATCCCATAGGCCAAATTTGAGTGCTACCATGCCCTGTGATTAAAGTATATGGTAAGTTACAGCAACCCAATCCTGACAGGACATTTAATGGCCCAGACCTTCAGGAATGAAGGTCTGGGTCACGCCATCAGGCAAAGAACCACAGCCAGCTGAGGTGCTGGCCAATGGCAAAGGTAATACAGAATGGGTAGCAGAAGAAGGTAGTTCTATCAGTTATGACTGTGTGATCAATAGCAAAAGTGAGGCTTGTGATTGTTAGTATTTCTTCTTTATATGTGTCTACTAAATATTTTTTCTCTTGTTCATGTATAGTATTACCAGATACAAATAGATTCAGTGTGTTTTCATGTATATGTATGCTAGGTATATGATGTTGGGTGTGAGCAAAATTACATTAATGTCTAGAAATTATATATGGTTAAAGAATTGTGTACTAGTGCCAAGTTGGCAATGTGATCGGTTTATTGTGCCAACTAGGCTTCCATAGGAACATGTGGGTGGAGTTTAATCAGGTTGCAGCTTGATTGGAGGGTGACCAAGATAAATAATTCCCACAGCCAGCATCTGTCGCTCTTCCTCCCTGGTGATCAGACCAGCATGCTGCTGCTTGACCTAGTTCTTTGCCTCAACCATGTGCTGCATTACTTGTGGGCCATACCAAGCCATGGATCCTGTTTCTAGAGCTTGAGGCTCCTTCAAGGTCTGCTTTGCCATGTGGCTGGTGCATACATTGTGTGAGCCTGAGGCCGATGAATTGTGTTGCTGTGCATACATTGCTTGAGTTTGAGATCCCACCAGGGATTGCTTTGCTAGGCTCCTGGGTTACTGACTGTTGCTGCCCCACCCTGCTGCCCTCTGTGGACTCTGCCTGTCATTCTTGAGGGTAGACTCCACTTTCTGCTTCCTTGACCTTGGACCAGCAGCCCCAGTGAGTTGAAGGACCTTCTGTATATTAACTGTTGCGTGAAACGGAGTTGAACTGAGCCCTCGGCACTGCTGTGTAGACTAATTAGCCATTATATTCCTTCTTGCTGTATAAACCTTTATATATATAAATGTCCTGGTTTTATTTCTCTAGAGAACCCTGCTTAACACAGGGTAATTTTCATAATTATTTTGTGAAGGACACAGGATGATGCCAGGGGATATATGAAGAAGAAGTTTTAAGAAAATAGAAAACATCATGGGTTAGTTCATGGCCAGAAAAATTGC